ACCTCAAGACGAATCCGACCAACGGCTCTTATGGCTCTAGATTTGATCAATTAAATTAAATACTAATATCATTGGCGTAGCGAAAAAGTGCGTATGTGTAGCTTATAAATATGTACATCCATACATGCATGTGGAAATGCGCCAAAATAAACAACAAGCGCTTGGAACGCTGCCAAGACTTGACGGTCGGTCGATAAGGAATTTAACCCGGATCTTTCCAAATCATAAAAAGTGGCAAATAGCTGTATACATAGGTGTTTATTTTTCTTTCAACTGTAATGGGGCAGCGCTTATCTGTTTTATTTATAGATGGCATTTATTGAATTCAGCAGTTACATTAACTGGTGTGTGTATTTGACGCTACTTTATTATTAATAAGTGTTAAATTAATAAGTAATTTTGATACCATCCAAGTTTATTTATAGAATACTCTTATCTTGAATGCTATGAAAAGGATTTTTAATTTTATCCTTAGGAATTGGTTGGTGTTAGACAGGATCGTTTTTTAAAAATAAGTAGTGAGAATTAACGACTAGGTATTTTTCATACCTATTAAAGACTTGAAAATCTTAGCGTCGTGTGGAGACAGTTGTTTACCCATTCCAATTTTAGAAGCGAAAATATTCATGTACGATTTGATATCAGGTCAACATAGGTAAAAGACAATACAAGCTTTGTCGAGCAAATGGCATTAAGAAATCAGCTAATTGCCAGGAAAACGAAGCAGTGGATTGCAGCTGAACTTGAAAGATGACCATTTGCACAAATACCTACCCGAAATGGGGCACATTCAACAAAATACGGATAATGTAGAATAACTCAGACGTTGAACAAACATAAGGGAAATGTGAAAGATCCAGCATCATTTGCAGGTTTACAATGCAGTTGGCTCGGGATCGCTGACAATTAGAAAAATATGAACAAACCCTTACCTTTGTGTGCTGGGTCTGTTGAATTTCCAAGTTCCTGAACGGGCAACTTTGACTCACGAAGTCTTCTGCTCACGTTCGAACAACGGTTGCTGATGCCCGTTGAGCTACGTATCTCACGATTCTGCAACAAAACTTACTTCAGTTAACACGATGTGTGTCAAAACATTGCGATTAAACAATTATTGTAAATGTGTACAGTTGCAATGTCTGATAGATGGGATGTAAGTCGCTTATCGATCAGTTGAGGCACATTTTACAAATCATGTCCTCTAGAGGGTGATT